CATCTGAACGTGTTACCTCCCTCCATCAGCCAAGCTGCCAATTTCATTCTGCCACGATACGTTCTGAGTAACTTTTGTTCAGCTCAGACAGATTTTTTCCACTGCTTTTCCATCCCTGGATGACTGACCAGGCTTGGCCTACCCATGCAACTTCTTCCCAATCCCTGTTGGCTGATCCGTGGGTCACAGGAAGGCAAAGAGGATACATTCATAATATTTCGAAAGGATAATGTGGCTTTTTATTTAATTGGCAGGAACTGCGTTGCTGGCAGGTAATATATTTTCTGTTTACATCTATATGATGATATTCATAAAGTGTAAAAGTTGGTGGGCCCATGAGAGGAACGATAGGAACCAACTAAGACTGAGCAGAACTCCCCACCCCTTACCCCCCTTGAGCTAGAGACAAAACCCTGCAAAGGCAGCGAAGCACCTACCTGCGCTGTACGTGGGAACAGAATAGGTCCCATCCCCATGGTTTAGCGACAGCCTGGCTCTCACCTTTCTTCTCGAAGTGTTTAAGCCATCATGTCTCAGAAATGTTTTTGGAAACAATTTATACTCGGATAGTCTAGGACACAAAATGGAAAGAGGCTGGATGCCTGTGTAAGCCTAAAGCTGATTACTAACTCGTCACCCACATATCAGCTACCCCAGCATCATTAATCACCAAGAGTGGTACATGACAGCTTCAGAGCTTTTATACAAGGAAAGCTGGAAGTAGTTTTGGAAAGTACTGTAGGAGTTTATTTTTCTTCCAGCAAATTTTCCCTCTGTAAAATCAGTTCTGAATTCATCACCCACACACGTTTTCCTGAATTCTAGTAACATTTTACATTTATTGGCATGAGGTTCAGGATAAGTTGGCTTTGTTTCTCCTCCCCACGACCCCTGAGGAGTTATTCTGTCCACAAGAAGTAATGGGAAAAAATGTTTAGCAGCGAGGACTGGAAGTTTAGCTGCTTATCTAGAAAAACAGGGCAAGCCTGAAGTCATGCCAACAGAGCAGGCCCCCTTCTGAGCCAATGCCGAACCACTGTTCCCTTCTGGTTCTCTGTGAGCAGGAAAAGAAAGATACTAGCCAACCTTTTCTGAACGTCAGAAATGGCTGTTTCTTTTGCCTCTGGTGTCCTTCGGAGCAGACGAGCGAGCCCAGCGGTGCCTGGCTGTCTCTGGCTGGGCAGGACTAAGCCAGCCCACAGCCTGCTCTGGGAGGTGAGATCTCCTATGGCCTTCATATCCCCCATTCTATGTGTTGCTTAAACAGATCAGTGGAACCAGACCTGGGCGTTTCAAGTTCAAAACATACGTGTCTTTCAATTTGCATAAAACCACCACCACGGCTTCTGCGCAGATCTCGGCGCCTACGCTTTCAGGGGAGACGCTCGGGCTTTCTTCCTAGCACTCCCATTCCCACCTGCTGCCGTTCCGAGTATTGTGCTGCCACGCCTGGACTGATTTTTTCTTAGCTAACAAGTCCTTTCATAGGCCAAACAAACCTCCCCTGGGGCTCCTGTATCTTTCTCTGGAGACCACTTAGTGAACTTTGCCAGGTACTGCGCTACCCTGCTTGTAGAAGCCTGCTCTGCCTCATCCCCTCCAGCTGCCACATCCTCCATCACTCCAGAGGCAAACTCTCCTGGTCTCTCCATAGAACCTCTCAGGTTTTCATCCCTACACAAAGGTTTTCTTCTAGCCCAGCTTTGCTTTATTAAGGCAATAATGCCTGTACTGCCTACACATAAACTGCCCAGCACCGCACTCTCTGTATCTGAGAGGACTAATGCCCCAAGAGGCTGCCTTAAAATTATGCAATATGCATGTTTGGACAATTGCCTTTTATTAGCATCATAGCTTTTGTATCTCTGAAAATTGGATTTAAAGCTTTTTGTCCTCAGCAGTCACGCTGATGCCATTCAAATCATAAGTGGAAGCAGTGAGTGTGATGTGAGTCACCTGACTCACAGAATCTCAGGATCCAAATACAACTATGAAATGTTGAGGGAAATATCGAGACAAACACTGTCAGTGTCTCATAAAGAGGTACTTAACAGACTCATCTTCACCATGCACCCACAGTCTTCAACCGCAGACAAACATTTGCAACCAGTCTTAACACCGCGCGGTTCCTTGACTGCATTGCTGGTCTAGATGCAAGTATTTCCTCAGTGAGAACGCGTAGCTTGGGCTTTGCAGGAGGTTAGATGAGATGAACGGTCCTTTGCAGTCACAAACCTAAAGGCTGTTTTCTCCACTGTTGCTCTTTGAGGAAGTTTTGATAGAGCTTTCTCCAAGCGGGACTGGCTTTCGCAGCGCGCGGCTGAAACACAGCAGGGGTAAGGGAGGGGACATTCTGAAGCAGGTCTCAGGGTGACTGACTTCTACATCTGCAGCACATCCTGTATGTGTGGATGCACCAGATCAAAACCACCCGCGCTGCGGGGTCCACGCAGGCACCCACGTTAGACAGTCCTCTGGTGGGTCTGCAGCAGACCAGCGCTCTCCCGAGTGCTATCGCAGGTTTTGCCTACGACATCCCACACGGACAGGGTTCGTTTCATGGAAAGAGTCCTGCAAAGCTCTAGCACCGCACTCTTCCTACTCCCTCCTTTAAAGAACCTATGTGACGCTTGACAACGGCTATGAACAACACCAGCTCCTCAGGGATTCTCTTGTGCTTTGTACTGTAATACAGGATTTGCACAGGGCCATCTAGATCTCTTACTAAAACCTCCAGAAGCAAACCCATACAAATACCAAATAAAATTTACTTGCATGGATCAAAAGTCTCTATCACGATTCCTGCCAGTTCTGTGAAGCTACATTTGGGATTAATTTGGCCCACTGCAATTATTTTCACATCTGAACACATCATAAAATCTCTATAAAGAGATAAATTAAATGGGGAAGAGCAGCACAAAAATTATTTACTATAAATTATGAAATAAAACAAGATCACAAAGTAATCTCTGCACAGATGAACCACTAAAATATCATTAGTGAGACTCTGCAAAAGACTGAATATACCTGAAATAGCTTTGACATGTCTTGAATAAGATATGATCTTGGCATACTTTAAAAATCCCTGTTCGGCTCAACCGAAGGGAAGGAAAAAAAAAAAGAAGGGGAAAGAAAAGGAAAGGAAAAGAGCACGTCAGAGAGATTGATCTATATGACTGGAAAGCTGAGAAGATTACTAATGGGATAAAGAACCTTTCTGCTCTAGGCTACTAGTCTGAAGGCAGTACAGTGTTCACAGGACCCTAAAGCACTATTTCATATTTCAGATCAGATTACAATGGATGGATGGATGGATGGAAGGAAGGAAGGAATCGGAAGCCCAGGATTTAAAAGCATGATTGCCTGTTAGGTTGCTAAAACAATGACCGGGTTTTCAAGCCATGAATCATAGCCAGTCTTACTGAACTGGACTCCTACCACTTCTCCGCAAACTCACCAAAACGGCTTCAATTTAAGTTACCTACTCGGAAAAGCTAAACAACAACTTAAAGTTGTATTGTCCCTTTCCACAACGAAGTCAACTGAACCCTGGATTTTATGTTTGCTATACACAGCTACCTATGCTGTCATTTGTTTTCATTTCATTAAATGGCTGGAACCTTCTAAGTTTATGAACACAGTTAGCAGCCCATACGCTTAAAATGATGGAAACAAGGAGAAAGACTAATTCTAGCATCTGTCGCTCCGTTTGTGTGCATCTCCACGTCACCTGCCTGGACAGACACTGATGTCAACAGCATGCCAGGCACTTAAACATACCCCTCCCACCAACTACAACTTTGCCACAGGTTTATCGAAATTGCTTGACTTTAAAAAGCACAATAGAAACAGAAAACAAGGAAGGTCTTATCCTAGAGGTAAAGTCTGTATAAATTGGACCTGTCGGCGGAGGCTGTCAAGGTGGCACATGGGAAACAGAAGACGAGCCTGTCAGGACAAAGAGACTGAGGTGTTACAGACCAACACGAACGTGCCTGAATCACAAATCAGATGCCAGGTCAGCCAACAGAGATCAGCTGGAGCTACGTAAGCCTCATGTATCTCATCCAACTAATCAGACATTCAGCCTCGTATTATTACTGGCTGGTGCCCGCATAAGCTCCTCAGTTTGGACCCATTCACGGAAAGCGATTGCGATCTGGTTTGGGATGGAGGGTGGCACCAGTGTATACAATGAGAACCCCCAACAGTTAATAAACGCTTTAATCTCTGAGGTAAACAAAGACAGTGAAGCAACTCTTTGCCACAGCCATGACTTGAGACTTGAGCAACTGAGGATTGAAGAGCACAACCAGGAGGCCGGACCCGTTATGAAACAGCAGACATGCTGCTTCAGCCGAGACCCCACATGGCACCGGCTAGGTCTCTCAGGGTATCCTCACCAGACAATTTCACTGGCCTCATGCTGTGGGAGCGCTGCCAGCCTCCCCCTCTCGCAGCCTGGCTCCAGGAACGCACAGCATTTACCACTTAGCTTTGCGACAGAGAGCGCGTTACAAGGCTGAGCATCGCTGCCCCCCCCAGCTCCACGGCTTCTTAAAATACACCACTGCTCTCTCTGCCCAGCTCTTCCCTGTTCATACATCAGTCACACCGGACTGTGTACGGATAATCAATCGATAACACCAGGCTGACATCCCACAGAAAGCCATGCCGCTGCATGATGCCTGGTGTCTGACTGGTATCAAAATGCACCGGCTGAAAGGGCCAAAACAGTCATCAAACCTGGTGTCCAACAGGGGTTGGAAAAGGCCATTACCAGCCATTAAGAAAACCCAGTGTCCGTATCTGCCTCCCACCCGTAACCGTCCCGAGCGAGCTGAAAGGAAAAAGCAAATGTGAAATGGTGACAGACCAGCATCATTGCTACTTTGAGCTGAAATTAGTTATCCCAGAAAGGGTGTGTGAGGATTAATGTTTTCACAGTACTCTGCAAATGGAAGGACTCACGACTCAGAGATTATGGTAAGATTACTCACAACGTTCCTCATGTGTTTCAACATTATTGTCAGGCGGGAGCTCTCGTAGGATATGACTAATTGTACTCCAGGCTTATGCTCGGTTGACTGAGGACCTAAAAAAAGGCCAGATACTTAGATTTTTTTAGTGAACAACACCTGTAATACATTGCAGTACACTTGAATTACTGTATAAAAAGAACCTATTGCGTGCTTATATCAGGGACGAAATTAGAAAGCAGGGAAAGGGAGTGTGATGGAAGAAAGTGGTCTGACACGCAGTGCTCGTTTTCTTTACTGTTTATACATTGACAGTGAGATTTTTTGTTTTCTAAAGGCCATCAATCTGAATTTCAGAGGGAAATCTATGCTCGAGTAACAAATATTTGGGTTTTTTTTTGTCTGGCAATCATTGATGACTCTAGTCAGTATTGTTGCGATTCTTCTATCTGGTTAAAACACTGGATTTTTTTCTTTTTTCCAGTTTCCAGCACAAAGGAGAAAAAAAAAAAAAAGAAAAAAGAGCAAGTTTCCAGACCAGTTCCAAAACTCCTGTTAAAGAAACAGTATCTATAGCTATCACCTATAAATTCTCCCTTCCTTATTTTGGATTTTTCCTGTGCCAGGCTAGTTTTCATGCAACCCATTGCTTTCATAGATTTTTCTGCTAAGAAGCATTTACACAGTTTGATGCCATTCCCACCGAAAAAACCCACAAAAATTTCAGCTTCCAAGCAAGAAGGATCAGTCTCATAATGCATAAGAAACGACTAAGCACATCCTCTTCCCTCTTTCCACTGGAGACACTGAGACGGCTGCCAAGAAGGTGTGTCCCTGAAGTCAGGTAAGTCGTGTGGCTTACCTGCCCCACAGAGACAGCGGAGAAAACACAGATGGCTTTTACCACAGGGTACCGGGGAATGGTGAACACAACCACCTCACCTCGGTACCTGTCTGACCTTATTTTGCAGCTTTAAGCCTGAGCGGGGTGGACGTGAGCCATTTCGCACTGCTTAGTCTGAGACCTGGGCTTCTCCCCGCGTGGTCGCTGCCTGGGCGAGCAAGCCTGGGTTTACACAGGCAAACAGGGCTTCGTTTAATTACACTGAAGTTGTGTTACAACCAGTCTTATACATTTACTGTGCTTGGAAAAAGAAGAACTCAGCCCTGCTGACCTTAGGGCAGGACAGTGATCTCTCAGGAGCTGGGCTCCGCTCTGCTCGCCTCCCTGCTCAAGGAGTAGCTGACCTTGAGACCTCAGACAGGAAAGTCCTGCTCCCCTGCACGCACAGTGGGACCTGCCTCTGACACGCCAGCCTTAAACCCACCGCGGGGCGAGATGATGACGCCAGACAAAACGATACAGTCGTGATTAATTCTTTAAATAGAAGCACATCTTTCAAGAAGTGGAAGGAATGAGAAAGGATGATGAGAATGAAAGAACTCCCACCACACGCAAGGGTTATGCACCAGCAAGAAGAGGCTTTTTAGAGAGCATCAGGCTGTTATCCTCAATAGCAGGCAGGATTCCCGCGTCTCCCTTTCAGCCTCAGCAGACACCCCTGCACTCTCTGTCGCGCTCTTACTCTCTCTTTTCCACGTGTGTACCACAGCCGTTACAGCCAGGCTGTAGGAGCAAACTCCCTCTCCCCAGCCTTTATGCTGCTATACAGCAGAGGGGAACATACAATGAATAAGCCACGTTGGCTGTATGTTTCTGAGGAAACCAAATGCGTAACCTCTAGAGCGAACAGAGGCTGAAACAACCGCTAAGCAGATAGAATTACAGTGGTGTCGTGTCCTGTTGACAGCCAGAGAGCTAGTGTGACTGCTAAGGAGAGGAATTAAAATGAATTAAAAATAACACCATGTGTACGTACAACTGCCATAATGCAATTTTTCCAGGCAGCCTGGATATTAATACTTCTGAGTTTCTGATGTTTGGACTGGATTTTTAGAATATGAATCCATCCCCAATTTCTTCCCTTTAGAGACTAAAAAAATACATTTTTAATCACATCCTAATTAGAGAAGGGCCAGAAACAGGCTCTTGAAGAATTGAAAACTTACGAAGAAATCACTAAGCTGGCACTTCGAAGAGTGAGGTGGAGTTCTTCATTTGTTATTCTCCTTTATGAACTTCGACAAATGACTTAGCCAGACTATACATTGTTTCATTTCTTGCATGCGAATAAAGACACGGAGGGATGGGGAATGAAAACTCCATGAACCAGTCAGTGCTGAGTTTTTTCCAAGGTAACAAAAAGCCCACAAAAATCTGTGCTTTCCCCCTCCACACAAAGCCATTTTACCATATTTTTTTTTTTAAATTGTCGGGCCTTTTTCCTTTTCCTTTTTCCCCTTCCTTTACAGGGAAGATAGAATCCTAGAGCATTAAAGGCATAACACAAGGGGAGTTGTCTTTGAACATAAGGGCACAATCCACTTGTGGGGCTCTGTTAATTTTGTAAATTGCTGTGGGTCATCCTGACTCCACACAAAGCCATTTTACCATATTTTTTTTTTTAAATTGTCGGGCCTTTTTCCTTTTCCTTTTTCCCCTTCCTTTACAGGGAAGATAGAATCCTAGAGCATTAAAGGCATAACACAAGGGGAGTTGTCTTTGAACATAAGGGCACAATCCACTTGTGGGGCTCTGTTAATTTTGTAAATTGCTGTGGGTCATCCTGAGCATAAATGACATCAGCAGAGGGTAAATTACATCAGCAGAATTCAGCTGAACACCGTACCTTGTCTTTCCTACCAGCACTACCAGGCCTTTTGTCCAAATTGCTAAAGTTTTATAGTGCGAGTGCTTATATCCAGTCGAGGAATTTCTCTGTGGGAGCTGGCATTTTCGTTTATAAAAAAATACAAATGTAAATAAGTTTCTAACCAAGCTGAAAATAATGATAAAACATGGGAGAGGAAAACACATTTCTAATTGTGTATGTCAAATGAAGTCTGAAACAGACACTAAGGGCATGGCTGTTACAAAAATATTTGCTCTTGCTACGCAATAAATGAACCAGCAATGGGAAAAGTGGGGAAAAAAAAAAAATAAAAGGAAGGTAAAGAAAAGTAATAACAGAGGGCAGGGAATCTGATAAACACAAAAGAAACTTCTATCACTTATATGTTGTAATAAAAGACAGCTACTGCTAGCTACACTCAGCTGTTATATTTTAGGTTTTCTTACATTCAGTGCTAAATCATAGTCTCTTTGAAGTCTAGGTGATTTCAGCTTCAAATGATAATAAAGTACACACACAGTAATTACTTCCAGTCTATCCAGCTTGAGCAGATGGACTCGAGCTCAGGCCCTGCATTTTTAGGAACTGTCATGCTCTACTTGCACTCCATTATAGGCAAAGACCGAATGCTGGTCTGTTGTAGATACAGGACAGAGCGCCACTGGCTTCAGCTGAAGCGAGATTGAACGACGCTTGTAGGGTTCTTCTGTATGACTCGTGTCTGTGCGTCCCAGCACTCTGCGGTGCAAGTCAGCCCCAGCCCCGGCTGCGGGAAAACTCAGACGTCCTGCCAGTTTGTAACTGCTTTGATCAAGGAACATAAACGCTAGAAAACTGTGGGTCCTTTCTTCTTTTTGAATGACAAAATTAAGGCAATTAGCGTTCAAATTTCTACTGAAGGTGGAATAACCTTCTGACTAGTCAGGCATGCGATTCTTTTCTTCAGCTAGATGGTCTTTTCTGGCACGTCGGAGAACTACCGGCTCTATCTTCTATAATTCGTGCAATGTATCCATTAGCAGCATCTTAAAACAAGCTCTGCATCACACTGTGCACGATGCATGAGAAATATAAACAGCGAGGAAGCTGCTACACAGAAGGCTGACAAAATCAATAGGGAAACTATAATTTAATAATTCATTGCATCTCACACGTGGACTGCAAAGCAACGTGAAAGTACTAGTTAACGAAGTGTCACAGCACTACGGTCAGGGAGTTAGGTACTATTCTGTATTCGGGACCCTCGGATTTGTCATAGAATCACAGGATGGGTTGGGTTGGAAGGGCCCTTCCAGTCCATCCAGTTCCACCCCCCCTGCCATGGGCAGGGACAACTTCCACTAGACCAGGTTGCTCCAAGTCTCATCCAGCCTGGCCTTGAAGACATCCAGGGAGGGGGCATCCACAGCTTCTCTGGGCTACCTGTCCCAGTGCCTCACCACCCTCTCCAGGAAGAACTTCTTCCTGATATCCAATCTAAACCTCCCCACTTTCAATTTAAACCCGTTACCCCTTGTCCTGTCACTACAGGCCCTTGTAAAAAGTCCCCCCCCAGCTTCCTTGTAGCCCCTTCAGGTACTGGAAGGTGCTATAAGGTCTTAGACCTTTCTTCTTGGTGACAGTCTGTTTGGACACCTGGCACCAAATGGTACGGGAACCTGCTTTGGTTTTCCGGGGCCAGGGTTGAACGCCCCAAGCTAACCATCTGCCTGCTTCAGCTACAGTTTGGGTTTGTGAGCCTGCAGCCTGCCCAGCATCAGCTACTCAGCTGCAAATACATCAACTATCTCACTGTTTTCGTCCCGACAGCCAGCAAGAGGTGCTTACGGGCAGCGAAACAGCCTAAATGCAACTAAAGTAGGAGTGCGAGTTGTGGCAAAAGTTTTACATGGAGAATGAGTAACTGCAGCAGATCAAAACACTGTGGAACGTGAGCAAAACAGCTGACTCTCCTGCAGGACTACTCATGAGGACTGCGATTCTGCAGGGAGAGCTGCACCATACGATACTCGTTTCGGAAGGCTCGGAACTTCCTTTAGAGGGACACAGGGCCAGTGTGTCCGCTGCAGTAAATGCAGACCGGCCTGTGAATTGAGTGTGGCACTAACCACACGTGCCAGAACTGGGTCTGGGTTGTGCACTGATACAGCCAACAGCAAAGACTTCACGATGTCATAAGTATGGCAAAAGAGGCTGAATTATTAATATTTTCAGGAGACAAAACTCAAGAGAAGAAAAATAAACAAGACTGATATAAAAGTGATTTTGATAGAGTTTCTTTCCTCCTTTTTTTAAAAGGTTCCTTACAACAGGCTGTCTGTGATATCACGCCTGATATCTCCTCTCATTCCCTTGTAGTGAGCTTGGTGTAATGAAATGCTGACAATATTCCGTATAATTCACCCCACTGGGAGCACTGAATCAGTATTCATGTCAAAGTAAATTTAGCACTGATTTTTAATCTCTTCATTGCTGGGAGCAGAGTACAAATTCATAAATTTTAATTTTTATTTTACTTTAGTAAATGTAATTACCTACAACGTTTGTAAATTAAAGCAGTGTAAGAGAAAGATGCTGTCTTGATCAAAATTCATAACCTGCTTCTATTGGGCATTCATTTTATTTTATATTGATCCTAACTTAGAGACCGATGATTTGCTTGCATAAAGGCTGAGAGAGAAATCACCAGATTCATGGAAAGCTACAGCCCACATTAAACATGAGTTATTCTTCAAAACAGGCAAAAGTTAAAACCCCTATAAGCTCATAAAGCAATGAAAACTGGGGGGGAAGGATATATTCCTTCCATGGAAATTGCCTCTCTCCTGCAGGCTCAGTGAACTTAATTCCTGCCCCAGACAGACTGTGGCATTGCTACGGTGCTGACTTTGAAATCAAGAGCATTTCAGGGTACCTGAAAGCCTCCAGGGCCACCGTGCTCTTCCCAGAAACTCCTTGTTTTCTAGCTGGCAGCTTGGCATGATCAGCCACTCCCTGCCTTAGCTGGACCTGTTTCTTCTTCTCACAGGACGGATGATAACAGGGTACGGAATGCCATGTATAGGTCTAGGTGAGCTAGCTGGGGTGTGGCAGCACTCCCACAGCGAGGGATGAAGCACAGGATAACAGATATGAACACCATATTTCAGGTAGGTAATTAGCTCGTGCATGGCTGGTCTTCCTCAGGTAGCTGAGCAAGCTCACTGGCAGCTAAGCTCACCTCCTCCCACAGTTCACCGCAATGGACTGTCAACCAGGCACATCCCCTGCATCGCTGACCGGAACCAGTGCCATACCCAGAGCAACTCAGCCCGCTATTCTCGTCCTCTGTTTTTACGGAGTCTAAACTCACTGAGTCCTGCCTTGGACCTTGTGTGCTACTGGTATTCTACAACAAAGGTTTTGCACTGAGTCTAGGGCTGAAGCGTCCAGATATCAAAAGGCAGAGTTCCTGAGCAGGAAAAAAAAAAATTCCCTCTGGAACCATGCTGCCTGAGGCCAGAGACACATCAATCTCCCTCGACCAGGCTGTGACCTTCACCCCCACTAACTGTATAGAGAACCTGCAGATTGGGTTACCTGTCACACAGCTGTCATCAAACCCTCACTGAACATATTCTTACCTCTCTTTCCTTATTCTCTTCTCTGATTTCGGTGCCATTGACAACAAAAAGATAGGGTTTACCCTTCAGACCATATTGGCTCAGGACACCACTGTAGGAATGATGAGACTGCAATTTATTTCTCAGCTTTATTACAGACTCAGTTCATGCTTTTGCATAAGGCTTTTACACCCAGATTCTCTGTAATAATTAGGCACCTAAATATTATTGAAATGTCAAAATCCTTCTGAAGACCTAGGACTTTATCTGTTTTATGCCTCAGTTCACTCTCACATGCCTGCATCTTTGCTAAAAGCGTCTACAGAGAGAGGCAGCCCACGGACCCAGACTACATGTTACATTTGAACTAGGGCTTGGATTTTCCATGACAAGATTTAGCCTTGCATATTCCTGACACCTAGGACATCTTTGCATTATCTCCTCTCTCCTTTGTAAAAGTTAGAGCAACCATTAGTAATTTCCAATAGTCATAATGGGTTTAATATGATAATAGCATGCCCTAATCAAATAAACTCTACACAGGGGGAATCTTCCAAAGGCTGAGAAGCCAGAATGGGATTTATCTTGTTCTGATGGATTAAAAAAAGTGGTCCCAGCAAAAGAGATAATGAAGCCTCTGTCTGCAGGGAGATTAAATTAACTTAATGGACATGCAAACTAAATATGCAGACATACTAGCACTCCTTTCTGAAATGTGGATAACGGGTGATCTTGGAAGCTATCCTATCACTTGGAGCACAAAACAACCAGCTGAATTGCTGTGGTGCAGAGTGCAGCTGCAGGCTTCTTTATGAGATTGCATTTTCCCTAAAAACTGACTATGGAAGATTATTTTCAGTGCAGTGGAAGACAATAAACAATCTCAGTTTACATTTTACGGTTTATGCTTTGGCTCTTAATGCTGTAATGCCAGAGATTAGATTAAATTAGGTGCTGGACAGAAGAGGGAAATGGGCTAAGTGTTTAGATAGGCTAAGGGAACAATGCAGAATCTCATTTAGTAAGAAATGAATTACCACTATCATTAATAATGTATGCCTAGGCATTAACATAATGTTCTGTTATTTACCTGCTCCATTCATTGTGAAAATGACTTCTGAAGTCATCCCTAATTTTTTTCGCTTGCCCAAGTACACATTTTGCGCTTTGCCATGACTCAGATCCTTTCCTCCAGGTTTTTCTCTAAAGGTTTTGTAAAGCAATGAACCTGCCACAGTTTGTGTAAATAAACTTTTACTTTGCATCTAGGCATGTTTATTCAAAAAAAAAAAAAAAGAAGAAAGGCTGAGGAAAAGATGGCAACATGAAACAAAACCACAGGTTGCAATACTAACACATTTTCAGAGACCTTGAAAAAGCAAGGATTATTTGTCAGTATCTTTATATCTTAAAAAAAAGCCACCTAAACACTCTAGACTCACCTTTGTGTTATTATAATACCATTAAAGAAGTCCTCCTTTGAAAACAAACAAGACGGGTAATCCACATACCTAACATCACAGGTGATGAATCTTCTGCCAAGGTATTTTTGCCCCAATTCAGGAAGAAGCTGAGTACAAGCTCATTCTGAAAGAAAATAAAAATATTTTAGGGAACGTCATCATTTGTGCTGTGTTCCTTTGGGGTGGCAGTAAGGGAATACATATGAAACAGGAGCTAAGTGAGATGAATCTGTCTGGTTTGTTCCCACTGTTAAATTATTCCTCTCCAAGCAGGTAGGTTTCTAATGTGTATATTTGAGTTAGCCATAAAGGGAAGTCCTTCCCCTCTGATGGGCAAGGAATTCCAGGGAATGATTTTTACACAGGTATTGGGAAGACAACGCTGCTCCTTAGCCCTGCTGCATCCATGCCTGCCTGGCCCTTTTCTGTCAATGCACTTTCCAACAGCAGTGTGCCACGTGGGCCATGGATGTGCGTCCTCATTGGGAAGACAACGCTGCCCCTTAGCCCTGCTGCATCGGTGCCTGCCTGGTCCCTTTCTGTCAACACACTTCCCAACAGCAGTGTTCCACGTGGGCCATGGATGTGCGTCCTTCCTCCACCTCCAGTGTCTGGAGATGAGTGTTACCAGCTGCAACTGCTTTTACAGAGCAGCCCATCTGCGAAACAAACGCAGGAGAACATCTTCACTGCGTGTTGTGTAGCCAGCATGAAATGTGCCCTTGGCACAGGACCGACCCAAGGCTTAGATACTGTGCGTACCTCCCTCATCATGAAATGCGCCCTTGGCACGGGACCGACCCCGAACCACTGACCCAGTGTGCCTCCCTGAGGCTTAGATACTGTGCGTACCTCCCTCACGGGGCAGCTCGACGGGCACTCGCACCGAAAAGCTCCGTACAGTTAACTCCTACCAGAAACCAACAGGGAGTGAAAGGGATGATCGTATTCGCCATCCTGTTTGAGAGAGTAATCCACCTTACCTACTGCTCTGTAACTTTTATTTTTATGGACTGACCTGTACTGCTCTAGTGAACATACACAACAGGGACTTACATTCAGCTGTAGAGAATTAAAACAATAAACCAGATTTGAGTATCGTGCAAGGCAATACAAAAATGGGAATTCTGAAATGGACTCTTATGATTCTGAACCAAAGGTGGATAGCAATTGCATTTCATTAGCTTTTTCACAAAGCTGTATTTCAGAATGGCCATTCTTTAAGACGGTTAGAATTGCTACATCCAGACGGATGTTACTTGGACTGACACCGTAATGAATGGGTACAAGAAGACACTTTTCAGATTCTAGCATTAAAATGTCACCATTGTTTTTTTTCCAGGCCATGGAAAATAATGCGTCTCTTATCGGCAAGATGTACTTCATGTAGCATTTGCCTGGTTTCCGTTTGACGAGATGTGGCATGATTTGTGCAAGGAAAAGGGAAAAGGAAGAGTTTAGTGACGCACACAGCTAGTGAGGAGTTAACATGTGGTTACAGCAGACAGAGGAACAAGATGTGTATGTTCAGCGTAGAGGTAAGATTTAGCAATCTGGATGTATTTTAGCAGTTGCCTTTTATTTTTCATTCTACTGTTTGGAGTTTTTCCTCCCACACTGATATTTTCTTTAAAAGAAAAAAAAAAAAAAAGGATAAACCAACAGAATTGTTTGCCATGAACTGAATGACAAATCCTTAAGCTATTAGCAGTGGACTGCCAATACACCTGTCTGTTCTGAGTATGACTAATTATTCCCTCATCCTGTGAAGACAGCTTACAGCCCATACACCTCCTTCAGCTTCCAGAAGCTTTAAACAGCTGCGTTATTCCCTGCGGGACCTTCTTTTGCTCTTTCAGCACAAGTCCCAAGTGTAGGAAATCTCAAGGGCCGAAAGAATGTATTTTTGGCAGTCTTTATTTGGCAGCATGAAAATAAGCAGAGAAACTTAAGTAGCCCTTTGAGTTCAAAGATCTCGAGAGAAGCAGGCAGGAGGTAGAAGGAAGGATACACTAACTGACTTGAAAGAGGAGTAAAAAATTCCACACTGAGCAGGCTGGTGTTCTGCTTCCCCTCCGCTTACTCTTTCAGCAGTAAATGGAAATATATGAGCAGAGAGGTTTGTAAACAAGAGGTACAAAGATTGTTTCAGGTGATAGTCCCAAATTCTCATTTCTAAAGGAGACAACGCTGAAAAAAAAAAAAAAAAGATAGACATTTTAAGTATAGAAGTGAAATTTGTGCAGATCTCGCATCAGGCACGAACAGGAGTGTCATGTACTCTGCTGGCACCACAGCACTGATTTCAAAGCCTTCCCTGTCTGCCCGTTGTACTCGACAGGTACTGAAGCCTGAGGGGAAGCAGCGAGGCTGCTGTTGGCTAATGAACACAAACCCATAATTGAACAGGCCATGTGGCAGGGGTGGGTGTAGCAGTTCATCCAGGGCAAAGTCCTTCAAAAGCAATGGGGGAGATCTATTTGTGGCAATAAGCGTTTTGCACGCAGTTATTCCTAAAACAGCAACTTCTCCCTGAACTGTGTTAATCTGCCTGCTACAGGAGACCACTGTCTAGACTTGGAGCAGCAAGGTGCGTAAGCACCTCTCCACGGCAGGAGGGTTGGAAGTAGGTGATCTTTAAGGTCCCTTCCAACCCAAACCATTCCATGATTCTAAATTCACCCTTCGTCAGCAGAGCACCAAAGCACACGCTGAGCTTTCAGGTGATTCCTAAACCAATGGGACTTGCATCATTAGAGCCCAGCCAATGGGACTGAAGCACATGCTCAGGGTTAAGCATGCACTGAGGCACTGAGGATGACCCACCTTTTTTTTTTCCCCTGAAATTCTTACCTTTAAATCAGTAAATTAAAATTCCCTAAAGTACTGCCATTTAGGAATTTTTAGGAAAACCTCCTACCATTTGTCTAACCATTCTTACCTAATAAGACAACAATCTTTAATAGGCAATGTTCATATTTTCCCAGGTCACTCAATAACATTAGCCCACTGGGGAGCAGCCAGGTACGTACAGGTGCATTGGCGTTGGGCTGGCTAGAACTCACGCACGACCTTTTTTTTCAGCCATTAAACTCAAAAGGGACAAGTTCCACCTTCGCTTTCACTAGAATACCACCGAAATAAGCCATTTCAGCGGCATCGGGGGAGCTGGCAGAGCCCTGCACCACTGTGGCGTGGTAGGATTTGCCTACTGCTCTCCATCAGAGACTAGAAAAGCACTCTGCTGCTAGTGAAAGACAGCCAGATCCCAAGCCAGGTTTAATTTCACTGGAAAGAAAAGCAGCCTCTCCTTTGCTTTCAGCTTTCTTTTCAGCTATGTCAGAGTAGATTTGGGGTCAGAGAACACCCATGCACCTGTTATACTTTAACAGGATGGAGAAAAAAAAAAAAAGAAACCGGGAAAAGCTGACCTTGCTGCAGCTATTATAACTTCAGGAAAGGACAGTGGAAAAGGGAGGACTTTGAACCCTCCCCATTTTGGCTCTGCTGGATGCCTTGCTGCAGCAGTACGGGAGTGGTGGGAGTTTAAGGGACCCACATACCCCGGGTGCCCTTTGTACCACCGTGTTACGTACCTCCATCCAGGCACCGCGGGAGCTATTTTCTCATCTCTGCAAATCCCAAGTCTCGCCAGTGAATAAAACACAAATGAAATATGGGCAGCTCTTATCAAACTTGATTACTTTTACCGTGCAAAACATTAGTCACTCCAGAACAATGCTGTGGTCCTGGTTTTCACTGTGTGCTTGAAAATAAGTGACCATAATTTACAATCATTTCCATTTACATCCTCTTTAAAGCCCTTTTACACAGCCTATAAGTCACCATAAAGCTGTTTATAGAACCTATCCGTAGCTGATACACTGCCACTGCTTGCTTACCTGCTTGCACTAGCTTTGTCTTTGGCCCCCACGTCCTGAGTTAATTTGGATACGTAGAAATGTTTGAGAGTCGTACCCCAATGTAGCTAATTTCTGTTTACCGATTAGCCCACCGTGAATCTGCACTTGCTATTATGTTTGTCACACGCACACACACAGCCCCATGACAAACAAACCCCCTCAAACCTCCAAGCCCACTGAACTGGCACAGAAAAGCAACCTACAGGAAAGAGGTGGGACAAATAACATGTTTATTTAAGGCTATTTAGTTTTGCAAGACCCGTATGTACATCCATTGTCTGAGCTGTGTTATCACTAACAATAGCCACAAATTAAATGCCGCTTCTTTTAAATTATGAGAGATGGGAAGATTATCCACAGAATGGCTGGCTGATGGTAGCAAACGTTACATAAAACATTGCTTTTGATTCTGTTTTAGATTTTTCCCTTGTAATGCCTGAGTCGGGTGCAAGCTGTCTGTTCAAGGTAAGCACGAAGACATTCAGCGTTGCGTGCCCTGCCGTCTGACAGCAGGGCCAAGAGCAGAGGAAATTAATGGACCCTCACCTTGCTCCCGTGTCCCCAGGGAGTGTACAACCCTCCTACAACACAGCAGTAAAATGACAAGGCATGAGGGCAGCCCTAATTTATACGATAGGTTATGAGGTTGGGGCTGCAATCTCCATTCAGCCCATCACTCGCATTTAAGAGTGAAATAGAGAAAAAGGTAAAAGTGGTCAGCAGCAGCTGCCTTTTGCCACAGATTTGATTTATACTTTGATAATGTCTATTTTTGTACTCCTCCGTGTTACCAGCCTTCAATTTATTGTTTCTTGGTACTTCACCTCGTATTGGGAACACCACTCAGTTGTTTTGCTGTTTAATGAAGCAAAACTCCAGAAGCCTAAATGCTGAGTTTGTTGCCTTGCTTGACCCTGGCATTTCAACCCGCTCAGCTGACAAGCCAGGCAGCAGTGGCACAACTGGCACAAAACTACACACTCTAACAGTCCGATCACAAGCGTTGCCACTGGTTTGGGAGGAGTAGAATGGAAACAAAAGAGGTGCTGAAACCTAGTTTTGACCCTGTCCTAAATGACTCGCTATGACAACGGAGATGCATCACCTTTTGCAGTTTGGCAATTCATGTAATGAATATAGCTTGGTGGTGTAGTTACTTACGACCGAGTGGTAACCTGAATTTAGGAAAAGCACTCCTATTCTAGGCAACTCTTCAATGAATGTCCAACAAGTCATCAATGAATGAGGCTCATGCTCAAAGTACATCACAGACTTAAAAAAATGCTTTGAATAGGGACAGGTATAAGTACATTCAGGCGTTTAAACTCTCCCAACAGCAAATATCTCCATCAGCTGATGTTTCAGCATTCATTGGATCTGATACTAAAATTCGGAGATAGATTAAGGTGGCTTGAAGTTTCTATTCTTTAAAGAAGGGTTTAAAGAAACATTTAATTCCATTTGAGCTACAGTGCACATGAGGAGGTAGCTATTTGCCACCTCTCCTCCCTCATTCTAACCATTTAGCAGAAAAGGTCAGTGACATTCTGACCCACTCTTAATTATAACGCAATTTTCATAATCAGAACTTAGTCTGGGCTAAAAAGCATGCATTTAAGGCATGACTGAGGAAAGAATTTGGATATAATCCAATTCTTTCTTTATTTCTAGGTTTTTCAATTACTTAATTGGTAAAACCAAGCGTGCAGTCAGTCCTGTGTGGACTGGACTAAATGTTTGAAAGCTGAAAAGGGTGTCTAGTCAATCAGGGTAATGCGTTTACAGTGATAGCAAGGGTGTTTTATAAAGAAATGAAAGCTCTTCTCTGCATCTCAGACAACACTCCAGCATACCAGACAGCTACAATACAGCTACGATAGCGTACAGGTGCAACTCAGCAGAAAGAAATGACTGCCAGGAAAGTAAAGGGAACCCTGTTCTACAGGCATCTACTCTTACAAGATTTCATTGCAAATTTCTCAATTAATTATTTATTCCTACATAGTTTTCCTATTTCATAGGAATGACTGTTTGGTAATGCCTGAGGACAGAGAATTCACTCAATGGTTTTGGTCGGGTTCCCTAGCAATTTGAGCAAAAGGACAAATTTGACTGCAAAGTTGTCCAGGGCACAAAGAGAGACAAAATAATTGTATTTATTTTTATCAAGAAAGCCTCCTAGCTTGACTTTCTGCTCAGAGCAAAACCAAGAAGACACCATGACACTTTTAAAAGAGTCGTACCAAAGGGAAAAGTGAAAAAAAGAAGCCTTCAGCTGGGAGTAGAAAGGAAATTACCCACTGACTAGCCTCCTTGTTCTAAGTGGGTCAGTACACGTCAGTATTTTCTAAATTTCTCACATTTCCCAGCAGGAGAAGCATATTGAAGTAAAAATAATGACTCAGTGTTTATAGACTATCAATAACTTTAAAGGTTATCATCTAGAATTGCAGGTTAGCTGCACGGTGGGTAAGCCAGATGATTTCCCGCATGCGATTGCACTGTACAGACGGAAACCATCTGCTCATTACTCTGCTGGTGACCGTGCCCCCCAAGTCCTGCACACCAGTAGCTGTGCAGCCCCCTTAGGCACAGAACTGTTTCTTTCTCCTCGTGGCACGGCACAACGGCCTGTACCTGACCGGAACGGCGCAGTCCAGCTTGTCTGAAGAGCCCCACCGGGCTGGCCCAGAGCCACACCAGTGTTACGTCCCCGGGCAGATCTGTCCACCCTGTTCCCTCTGAATACCCTATATCCCTGGTTGTGTCCCGGCAAGCGTGCTGGGAGGACTCCACAGGGCACGTGCTGCCGGACTGTAAAGGGAGGAGGAAAGGCAATTGGGAAGCCCAGTGCAAGGCAGCGCGCTCCGGCTCATTACTAGCCCGTTCGCAGGCCGTGGAGCTGAAGGGAGAAGAGAGCTGCTGCGCGTGACCGGGAAATGTTTTATTACTCTCCCAAGGCTTTAACAGCCTGACTTTTCAACCGTAGATTAGGCTTCTGCACAGCAGCGCTTGGCCCAAATTGAAAACCCATGTACTTTACAGCAGCCCACAGCAACGCAGAAGATACAGAGCTCTTCATTTCTAGGTCACTGGCTTATATCAGTTTTTCCTCAGCTGTGACCAAAAGGCGCTAACATGAAATCAACTCACGACCCTAACGTGAGTGACAGAAATTGCACAACAATTAACCCCAGCGTGCGCAGTTTATTTGGCAAGGTCAGTCGAGGGAGCCAGGCACCCAAGTCAGCCATCCATACCAAATTAGGTGTAACTCTGCGAGACGGGTATCATTTATCCTCTTTGGAAATCTTCTCGCTTTCAACTCAGGGAACAGAATTTATATTCATATTAATAAGAAAACTCCTGTTTGTTTAACACATGGACCATTTCCTCTTTAATCTCTGTTACACAGTCATAGCTGGGAACGTTACACAGGCAGCAAACATTCTTCTCTTCCTGCTAGATGTTTGAAATTTTGGAGAAGACCCATACTGCCATACCCTCCCCTTCAGCATCCTGGGCTGACTACGCCACTAAACCAAACCAGCCCCAGTTTGTGCTACGGCCCCGAGGCCTCAGGGCATGACACGGCTCACCTGGCAGAGGCCCCAGCTCTGCTGGAGAACGTGCTGTAAGGAAACAGCAATGCCAACACATGAGCTCGTGCCCTGGCTCCCCTGAATGGACTAGCCCCTGCGTAAACCTGGGATCTAACAAAACACACCGTTCTTTCCCGCCTGTCTGACAGCTTTCCTGACATCAGCTGGTCCTGGGAGATGCTCCTTTCTCTCAGACCCGGCTGTCACTATCACTAATTGACCATTCAATTTCCAAAGTGATGCAGCATCACGATTCAACATCCTCCCGGGGGGCATGGGGTCTGTTAGCTGCTCTTAGCCCTGGCTTTCACGATGTCGTAGTGCGTAAGGGTTTCTCCTGGGCCAGGCAAGCGAGAGTCAGTGTTTGTTACCATTTCAACTTTCCATTTTGAAACAGGAGGAGGAGATCAAGATCTCAGAAAAGAATAATGAATAAAAAATGAGAAAACACAAATCTTAATGGACACGCTGTATCATTCTGATAATAGCAAAAAACATTCTGGTTTCGGTCTTAGGTTTGCAAAACTATTTCTTCTACGTGTTAACTGAATTTTGAAATGAACACTATTTCTGGGCTGAAATAATGGAACTTTTCATTTAAAAACTGTCAGAATCAGACTTTTCAATATTTCAAAACTTACTCCTTTTTTAGACATTAGTTTCCTCAGAACCTACTCCTTACTGTCAAAAATTCAGTGAATCACTACATTTGGATGGCAGCAAAGGAAGAGAAGTTTTTTGAAAAATGCCCTGCCAGGTCTAATAAACTATTTTTCAGTCATCCTTGCCTTTGTCTTAAGTTCTGATGAATGCTACAATGGCTCCATCTCAAACCGGCTGCATGAGAATGCGTGTCACTTAAGTCTTTTTTTTTTTTTTTAAATGAGGCCATGGAAAGCTTGCTGAATCCTTTGTTGCAATGCTACTATAAAAGTAAATATGCAAATAAAATAAATACTAAAGTGCTTACATTAGCCAGTTTCCTGGATCCACTTAACAGCTGCTTCAGATAGAGATTTAAATCCTTCACTCTTTTATGCTCAAGATCTGTAAAAGGTGAATTCCACGAGTGAGGAAACCTGAAAAAGAAGAATCTTTGTAAGTATAACTCTTGTACTGTATTTGCTGAAAACATTTCCAGCTCTACTTAACAGAAGGAAGTTAACACTTGCTAAGAGGTTTTGCAGGTAGGGGAAGGGATGGGTACAGTGTCCAGAGGATTGTTTACCCTCTGACTCTGGTTATCCTAATAATTCCCTGGTTTGTACTGTACCCCTTTTTCTGTCTAAATCATTAATTAAAAAAAAAAAAGTAAAAAACCAAACCCCAAAAAGCTAAAAGGCACTTTATTGTGGTATCTAAACACGTCTAAAAACTGACCCTTTATGATCGCAGGAAACACTACCCTCCCCTTTTTTTTTCATTGTGGACAGCACAACAGATCTCTGATCTCAGCCCAGGGCTCTTGTTACACAAACCCTTACCACAGAACATTGAATACCAAAGCTGTGCAGCAATGATGTGACATTTTATGAATGTATCATTGCTTGCTTTTTTTTACCTCAGCTATTTAGAGAGCAGGTTAGTTTTTCAGAGCAGGTCCCTGATCCCATATGTAATTTCAGGCGCTAGTATAATAAAAGTAATATATGAAAACAAATGATCATCACAATTAATCTCAACAAAAGCAGTAACAATAGTAATAGTAAAGTTTTTGCTGAATTTTTATTAAGATTAATTTCATTTCAGTGTGGTAAATAAACCATGTATGCCTTATGAATGGGCTTGTGTCAATTTTCAAATGCCTTGGTGATTGAAAATATCAACCCCCCACCTTTTTTTTACTTGAATCATCTCCACATTTTAGAGACAATGCACATTAGATCAGTCAAAAGGTCAGATTTTTAACAGTACACATAATCAATTTATATTAACCTTGACAAGGACTATTTCTCTCAGGTTGAAGAAGCATTACAAAAGTTATCTCTGCTAAATTGCATGTAATGGATTTTGTGACATGGATATCGCAAATACTGGAATTCATAACTGATATTATGCTTTATGTCCTCTAACCCTTGTAATACAGGAAGTTAGAAGTTTTGATCTCACTGTATTTCATGGTACTCTGTTACTGAAAATGGTTAACCACGCTTCTTTACAAACCTCTTTTTTCTGGTACAACCTTCTTTATCCACTAGATCTCAAGAAATATCTGAAGGCTTCAGACCAATGACTAAAGAGTCAAATAGCAGTGCAATACACTAAAAAGAGACTCCTCTTGTCCAGACTTCTGAGAGGCAGATGGTTGGATCCTACTTTGATCAGGTTTTACCCAATTCCACAGCTCAGTGATAAGGTATCAGCAGCTTTGCAAAGGCCAGTCAAATAGCAACACGTGGGGCGCTGGATCCCCATCGCCAGGGAGGAACACTGGCCAGCTCTGCAAACCACCCAGCTGTAAAAATGGCAAATAGCGGCCTCACCTAGTGAAAATAATGTGACTGAGGATGATTAACCCACAGTTTTTGTTACCAAGAGATTCCGCGTAATCAGATTTTATGAAGTGTAATTGGACCTGCTGGGTTGGGCTTTTTTAAACTTGTTTGGTAACAGACGACCTTTTACAATGAGAATACTGATTAACATATCATGATTCTTTTTAGGAGCGGACAAACCTTAACCCGCCTTGTGAAATATTTCTGAGGAAGAATTCAGCACTGGTATAACTTAGTCTGTAATTTAAACAGCAAGGGGCCAGGATCATAGCAGAATATTGTATGTACGTATGTATTTGATTATTTTTGCCTATAGCACTGAAAGATCAGGGCTCGGCTAAGCACTGTGCAAATGAATATTAAGAGGCGATTCTTGCCTGACAGAATTACAGTGGCAGGACACATAACGAGGAGGGGGAAGTGATCTGACCCAGGATCATAACACATATGAGCTGCACAGATAAAAATAGAGACCAGGTCGTCTGGCACACACAGACAGCCTGTGAATGTTCTGGGTAACTCTGGGGCACAGAAAGGACTTCTTTCAGGAGACGGTAGGGAGGATCTGTTTGGAAGCAGCTTAAAATGAATTAGACTGTATAACACAAAGAGAGGACTCTGGCTGTAAAATGTAGGCCTGCAGAAGCTGCATCCTAAGCACAGTGGCCAAACAGAGGGCAGAGAAACTGCTGATGGATAGCAGCAGTAACTCTGCTGCGGGGAAGGACAAAACGAAGCCTGTGGTAGTACTGAAGGCTTCTTCAGAAAGCCTTCCTGCTTTTGATGAGCTGCGCCTATGGCAGGAACTGAGCTTGCACTTGTGTTAGAAAGGGCTAACTTCCCACGCTGATTCTGTGCTTTGCATTGTGCCATGCGCAGACATCCTGCATTGCAGGTTCCATTTCCTCCTTACTGGCTTGAAAAACATTCCGCATATACGTTACGCCACTCAAATGTTTTGTTAGGTGAAAAGAGTTTTGGCCTTTTAAAAAGCAGTAATTAAATACAATTAATACTTGGTCTGAAACCAAGTAAGAGGGAAGGTGCTGGAGTGCAAGGGCTTGCTAGGGGCTGCTGTGCTTTGACTTATAAACATGGGCTGAACATACATGTCAATAGCAAAAATTCAGATGCTGAGAACTCACAGATTTGGCCATTAATTTCTTGTGATACAGCCAATATTTAGCACTTGTATGAAGCAGACTCATATTGCATTATTTCCTCCTTAATGAGACATGAATATATATAATTTCATGAATTGATACAAAGCAATAACCAAGTCCTTTCTGTTAACAGTTCCAATCGTACATTTTCAAACTGATTTTGGGGTTACATTATGGAACAAGGCTTTTCCCTTCCTTTGAAGCATCTGGCATCAGCCAGAGCTGAAGCTTCGTAACACACAGACAGACTAATGGTCTGATACGGTATGGCAGTTTCAGTGATAACTTCCTATAAAGAAATAATTAGGTTTTTACTATTAGAATAAAATCTGGAATACATGAAAAGCCTCAAACTGACAAATTTCTGTTAGAAAACAACCCCAAACTTCAACATTAAAGAACACACATATAAAGAAACATCATAAAATGAATTACATTAATACAGTCTTGGGGAAAGATCACACAGTGACAGGTTACTGCTGGGCCTGAATCATGACAATAAAGCCCTGGGCTTCTTAGACACAGCCTCAGTATATGCAGATTAACCCTCTGTGAGTTCTGAAAGTCTCTTTCGCAGTGAAAATGTTGTCAGGGATTTTATTAAATGTAGATTTATCTGAAAAATGGCTAGTACTATTTTTGAAATTCACTACAGGGTTCCTGAGGTCTATGCGTTTCTAAAGAGAAATGTATTTTCCTTCAAAGGGCTCAGCTCACCACAGGAAAAAATCATAAATAGGTACTTTTTTAATATTTTATTTTACAGCCTAATAGTTAGCGTGCAAATATCTCCAAATCAAACCCATGATTCAAGCACTTTCATTGTTTAGGGAAATACTTCTGATTCTCACCAACTGCTGCAAACCAGTTTATGTGAGCCAGTCATAATGAGTCAAACTGGAGTCAATTAAAATCCCCTCAGGAAGGAGAAAGATCCTCTAGAATTAACTTAAAGTCGTTTAACCAAATGCCTCTCGCAAGCTTGGGGGAGTATCGTTTTTGGATCTGAACTTCAAAGACTTTATTTTTTAAGCCAAAGTCATGTTGTTTGTGGCTATTTACTACAGGTAAATAAAGACCTTTGCACTTTTCAAGCATATCACTTGAATTTCAGCTTGGTTCAAGTGAACTGCTTGTCTTTTTAGCCAGTTTTATGCTTTACTGTAGATTGAGCTTGAAGAGGGACTTGTATCAGGTGAGTCAGCATGACTTTAAGAGAGGACTAGTTTGTTTGCCATGGTGTACGCAGCATAACGTCTATGACGTCTGCAGAACGCGTAACTCCACTTCTATTACCAAAGCCATGGACAGTCCTTACATAAAGCAAAGCTGGTTTACGTAACACAGAAAGAATCTGTGGGACTCACTGTCCCAGGAAACAGTGAAGAAGAAAGATTCAGAATATGAAAAGCGTAAGTAGACATGCACATGGATAAAAAATAGTATTCAGAATTATTGCAACTAATGACAGGTTATTTTTCCAGAGATATTAAACTGAATGATGAGGGTTTTGGGGCCAGGTTAGTACATAAGATTATTGCATACTTCTCGTCTGGAGGGTACACATACCTTTTTGTAAAAAGGATCATCTCTGCCATTGTCAGACACAGGCTTTTTTCTGCTCTGACCCAGTGTGAACATTCCTACATTGTTTTAATATATGGATTTTGCAATGAGTCTTGATCAGCATCATGCAGAAATAAAAACAATTAAAGGCCCTATCGTGCCTTTAATGAAGTCAATACCACTCACCCTTTGATTTCAGGAATAGCTGTGTCAGGCCCAAGCTGTTCCCCCTTTTCCTCCCATTAAAAAAGGAACAATAAAATATATAAAAGTTAGACAGTCACAATGTTCTGACTCAGTTTCTTGGGCTGAATAGAAGGCCTGATAGAATATGTCGCATTGCCTTTGTGTTTCTAAAAATATGCCTGCTGTACATTTTCTCACATTTTTATCTGCGCACAGAGAGAACCATTTAACGACAGAATAACATTCGCTAATATGCTGCCTTACTCTGGGAGGGCGTGTGACGGAAATTGCTCCTGGAGATGGCTGTGAAGTTTTGAGAACTGGTCAAATGATTTTTCCACAAAAGAGACCACATTGCAGGTTTGCACCACCTGGACTAGATATAGCTGTATTGGGGAAAAGGGAGAGGCAGAAAAGAGAAATGATCAGAGAGGCACATTTAAAAAAAAAAAAAAAAAAAGAGTACTACAGAAAATATTGGGTGATTTTAACAAAGAAAAACATTTCTTTAATGTAGTGCCAAGTGCCAGAGAATTCAGTTTGTAATTTATCGTCTTTGCTCCACAGAAAGAGAAACTTGCCTGGATAGCATACAACTCAAACATTGAAAGATCACTGCAGTGTGTGCAAACTAATAATGCACCATTAAAGCATCATATAACAGCCTCCGATTTCTATTAGGCTTCCTAATTTTGTGCCATGCTTTCCTTCTGGATGCTTTAATTAGCTCTTGATTTATTTTTCACTACAGGGCATGAACTGTTCTCCTCAGTGGCTCCCTGCTAATAGCTGTCTGCCTGGTGTTCTTTCTCTCCGGTAGCTCGTTGCTTATGGCACTGCTGTTCATCCTGTGATCCTTTTAATGTGGCACAAGCACATCTTTTATAATGGAGGAGGGAGGGTAAATAAGCTCGCAGAAGAGTCGTTAAAGATCATGGCAAACGAGGGCAAGCCAAGAACGTAATACGTACGGAGTCGGACTTTTTGTTGAACCCCAGGATGGTGGCTCTTGAGATGGATTTCTCTGCATCCAGCATCATCCATTCTTGGGGGACAGTCTCTGGAGCTGGAGGCTTTGCAGAGCCTGTCACTGACATCTGTACAAGCGTGTGGATCAAGTTGTTGAGTTTAACAGGGAAGCACTCCAAACTTTCCTTTATTTTCCTGAGGAAGAAACAGAAGAGTCACTATTTACACGTGTGTTTGGTTTCTGTTTCTTGATCCTTGGTTTCATAGGTGCAAGAACCAAAAATCCCCAGATTCTAAAACCTACCTCACACGAACATGTACCCCCATACAGACCAGTCACCGCTATTTGCCGCAATACGGAATATCCAGCCCCGGAGGGCTACTGCTTAAAGGAGCGCTCTGGCCACAGCCTGTCTCACAGCACACCCTGGGGTAGTTATTCTTCAAGAGCTGAACATCATCAGCCTTCTTTTGGACAATAGAGAGGGACAGAACATTTCCATGTGTGTTTTGAGGGGTTCCAGGGTAGAAGAACATGTGTTCGCTTTGACAGGTAAGAGAGAGTGCCCTAGTGCTTTTTTTTTTTGGTTACAGTAACCTCACATGGACTTACACGTGTTTGCGCAAGGCTCTTGCCTCCGATTCGTGACCTAGCTGCGCGTGATGTGTTGCTAAATCCTCTACCCAGTTCTTAAAAGCTCTGTCCCTGTGGAGGTGCTTAAGATAAAAAAAGAAAGAGAAATTTTCTCCCCATCTCCATCCATCTCATCCCTGGGCAAGGGGAGCCAGAACACACTCCTAGTTTCCTCGTGTTTTAAGATCCTTCATCAGAGAAGGCACAATAGATTAAAAAAAAAAAAAACAACCAAAACCTAGATAGACAAGTAGATATGTACTGCAACTGTGTTTTAATATCAAAGTGAACTACAGAAATAACACTGCAAGATAATCACTGGGCTTTGAAGAGCAAGATGCAGTACTCATTAAAAAACAGTTGTCCTCTTGAATTCAATTGCTGGTTAAGATCTATTTAACTTGTGATGCCAATTTTTTTTTTTTTTTCCATTTCACTACTTATTTCGACAGCTCTCTGAAAATATTCTGCATAGGTTCTGCTGCTATAGAACAACAACCCATATTTTCAGGCCATATGGCAGCAAACCTCTACCAGTTGTCAGGGTTTGGGTTTTTTTTCCTTTTTCTTCCAGTTTTGGACTGTATCTCACTAGCTTACAAGGGCTGGCAATACCCTTAAACACCTTCATCACCCCCTTGTTCTTCAAAGATGAGCAAAAGCTTCACCTGTCATTTCAAATTAAATTCTTATTCATGGATTTCTCTGAGTGGGTTGGATCGCACACTGCAATCAATTGAAATCAACTCCATTCATCGCATTAGCCTAATCTTCATGATGTCAGATGTTCTGGCTAAAGTCTGTAGCTTCACAGATGCAACCATACCAAAAAGAACATCCTACCTGCAGATAGCTCCCCAGCTCACCCCTCCCCCACCCCCCGTCAAAATTTCATACAAAATACTGTGTGATTTTATTACACATACTAAACTGAGAAAAGAAGATATATATGTTTTTCTTAATACAAGGTAAGGTATCACTGAATTGATTCAGTTAATTATCTTAATTATTAATTACATTCTCCAGATACATACAGACTATTTAATAAATGACACAAATTAACATTCAAATGGAAAACAAGAAAACAAATCTCATTTCAAAATATTAGTACAAAGTCAATTCAGTGCTGATTAATTAGGTTACATCTGTGCTGAACTTTTCCTTTTTAACTCCTATATATTTAATTTAATGGGAAGTTTAAACACTGCCTAAATTACTGAGACACGATTTAGGTTATAGGATCTGTAACTGGGCCATATTATAGCAGAGCAGTTAAGGAATTTGCAATATTACTATAAAAGGCATGTTAACTTTGAAGCTAAATACAGTACATTTTAATTCGCATAAAGCAGGCCTCGGCTTATAAACCGGTATTAACGCAGACATCATTGCTACGCAGAACAGCTGATATCCGAATACCACAATTCTTTCTGTGGGCCCATTAAGCTTCTAAAATACTTTTAACACCCAGATTGCTAATCACATACTTGAAACCTAAACAGAGGCTTTTGTTGTCATTGTGGCAGATTTTCCCTGTGAGTTATTTTAAATGATTACATTTAAAATAAAATTAAACCAGAAGTATACGTTATGTTCTCTCTCTTGACATTCTGTTTTTTCTGTATGGAATCCTCCCTGGTAGAATAGAAAGCGTTAGGCAATCCTCATGTCCTATTATTAACAAAGAATTAAAAAGGTCTTTCTGCTCTTCTGATGACCCCTCAGAGCGTGTCTTCACCGCACAGTAAAACAACTCTGGTTACGGTTCTCTGTACTTTCTTTCAAGGGCAAACTGGCTGAAGGAAACCCTCTTTCCCACATCCACCCAAAAGCTGGTTCCTAACTAGGTATGGAGCAGAGGGGTACATCAAACTCGCGTATCTTAGATTTTTAAATATTGCAGTTTATTTTTGGCATGGATTAGTTCACTGACTCAGTTCACCACATTGTGGTAATGTGATTCCCCTTTCTGCTAACATTGTTAAAGTTCACCCCAAGGATCAGTGGTGGAGCTTTCTCCTTGAACTCTTTGAGATCGCCATATGCCTTCTTTTCTCTACAGCCACATCAAGTTTGGTCACAGAAATTGGCAAGGTCATAGGTGTTCGTAGCCCAGACCCTCTCGCTCCCTAGGCCATTGCCATCTTTGCCTGTGCCTAAAGCTGGCTCTGTCTTCTCAAAGATGACAGAATGTTCCTTAGTTGGAATGTTCCACCTGGTCTAGTGGAAGGTGTCCCTGCCCACGGCAGGGTGGTTGGAACTAGACGATCTTTAAGGCCCCTTCCAACCCAAACCATTCTGTGATTCTATGATAATGGTCTATAGACGGGACAGCTGAAGTGACCTATATGAAGGGCACCAAAAGCACAGGCTAATCAGAAGAAAATAGGAAACTGTCATTAACTAGAGTAACATTTATGGTGAATCAAATAATGCTAACATGCAGTTTTCAGGTTGAAAAAAAAATATTTTTTCCACAGGATAATACCCGTTTAGCACACACATTGGTGCCTGACCTACTTCTCAAAACAATTAGTTAAATGCCTGGGATTACTGAAAAGTAATGACTTTCCACCTGCTCTCACAGTCTTTCTAAAGAACTCTCAAATTACGGTATCAGATAAACCATGCACAGACTGGTTGGCTGTTTGTGTAAACAGAGATGGATGAAAAGATTGGCTAACATTGTCAAGAGTGACTAGTGATAGTTGGTGTCTTGATTTTTAGGAAGTAGACATTTCTTATGGGACAGGTATTCTGAGGGCTGGTGCTTAGATCTTTCTGGACACACCAGCCTTTCCCCATAGCCTGCTAAGAGCACACACACTCATTATTACTGACTAGTTATCCAGATATTAGTCTTAGTATATATAATAATAAATATTCACCCCAAACTGCTGAATACTTTATCATTCTTGATGGCATCCTGCTTATTGTTTCCATCTAGGCCTGCAATAGTTTTAAGTGTAATCAGCAAAATTTATTTTCTTGGGATTCTCAGATGCTAATGAAAATGTTGTTGATTTATATCCATCTTTTCCGTCCATGAATTTACCAGGCTCCATTTTTAAAACAAGTTGGGTAGTATGCCCCCAGCAGATCTTAACAGAATTTTCCAGAATATTACTGCTTTTAGGGACAGGTGTTTTCTAATTTTCAGCAGCATTTATTCATGAACAGTTGATATTCTTTTTGTGTACATCAGTGACAACCCTTCACTTTAATGCTTTATTTCCCACTGTGAAAATATAAGGGCAATAATCATATTCATTTTGCTAAGCTTTAAAATCAAGGATTACTTCAGACTAACTCTGATCCCATGGACTGAGCGTATCACATACTGTCCTCAAGTGCATCTTCCAGCCTAGTTTCCCTACTAGTCCTCCTAAGCACCTCTCCCAGCACGCAGGACATTCCTCTCCCCTGAGCTGGTGGCATGTGGCGTTTGTACAACCGTATGAATGTCCCAAACAACATCAGTTCAAGGAAGAAGTCTGCCTCTGTTCCGTTGAGGCACATATACCACAACGTTTACAAACTGCCCGAATGCCGCGCAGAGAAGTTCAGTACCGCAGTTTTGTCTACGCCCTTTCAGAGCAACCAGTTTCCACTGTCGTTTCAGTTGTCTGGGAGATTTCTTGGAATATTCGTGTCATGTTTTTAAAGGAGTTACAGTGAACCGTCCAGTTTTGCAACTGCTGGCATTTGTGGTTTGGAGTGAGTGTGCTTGACCTGAGCAATGATGAGCGCCCAGCAAATGACTCTGTTAATAAATAAGAATGGCAGCTGACCCAAGCAGCAACCCCCTCCATCAGGCTGCTGAAGATATGCAGTGGTGCTCTGCTGGTAAATGTCAGATCCGCCATGCCTCTCTTATTCACGGGCTTCCGTGAGTGAGTGAGAGTGTGTACTGAAATCAATTGAAACCAACCCCACTCACTGCATTAACCTAACTTTAACCCCTTAAAAATAATTTAAAATACACAGCCCTCTACAGGCACATTAAAAATGTCAGGCAGCATGCGACACCATGCTGACATTTGAAGACATCTGCAGAAAACCAAAAAGGAAATTTATATGCAACGGTAGGATGCGTTTCCAGTATCTGGTAAAACTGTGTTGTCAGGGGAAGAGGGAAGGAGGGAGGGGAAAGGATCAAATTGAGTTTCAAGGATCAAACTGAGTTCAGAGCAGATGTTGGAGAGATAACAATGTCTCATTTGGCATTAGGTGCACAGAACTGACAAGCAAACACAGAAACTCTTGTTTTAACTCTCAATTGGTGCATTGTTTATCGACGATCTGGGGGTGCGACCTTCCAGAAAGCTGGAAGCTGTGAGGCTTAACACTGCCGCTCATCAGCTGAGCCAACGTGAGAAGTATACAACACACAAATGAGACCAGAGACTGCGGAACACGTCTTAAATCAAGAATGAGAGGGAAGGAATTGGGTAGAACACAGAAGGCTTTACGATCCCGACAGGGGCCAGTATGTCACAGCCCAAACTTTGGCCCCATTATGCTGTTTGCAAAAAAAGGTGACGGCAAAGAACAAATCCACATTGTTTTGGCAGGGATCTTTGTGACATCGTTCATCGTTTCATGATATTTTTAAACAACAGTAGAGGCAATGTCAGTATTATTGCTCAAACCAAACTCAAACAGTTGCTAAAAGCAACCCATTTCTACAGAAATGCAGATGAATACTGTTCTCCCATTTCCACTAGCCGAAGACTGAGGTTTTCAGCAGATACACGTTATGTGATCGAATCTGAGAGATTACAATAACTACCTTGTACTCAGAACAAGAAATAACTTTCTGTTGGTTGATTTTAACATTCCAATGACCACACTCCTTCTATAGAAAAGAAGTTTGAAAAACAATTAAATGTTTCTGGAAGTAATTATGGAGAAAAAGGAGCTACAAATTGTGAAGGACATGAGAGTTACTGGTTATGCTAATAACCAGAGCTTTCAATTTCCTTGCCTTTCTAAGAACCACCTGAAAAATAGATACAGGAATAAGCTCCAGAAGCTCCAGAGTGAGTATGAGAAGTGGGTGACTGGCTTTGTTCTCCCCTGGACTTTTTGTATAATAAGGAGGTAGAGAAGAATTTTTCTGGACAAGAGGAATAAAGATGACATAGGTAATGTAGAGCTCACAAACCCCTCAATATATTAACATTCATAGAGGTAAGTCAGAAATGCTTATAGAAAGGGCTAAGTTCTGCATGGATCTGTGTATCAGGGCATCCCAAAGTCTTTATTTTGAAAAGTGCCTTCTAGATATTCAAAAACTACTCGACATGAAACCTCACGTTCTGCCCAGGTTTAGATCTGTAGAAATGTTAGTTAATACATGTGTTGAATTAACACAAATTATGTTCAAACATGAAGAGAAACTAGAATAAAGGGAAAAAAAAAGCACCAAGAGAAATGAGATTCATGGAAATTCATGAGCTGATGACAAGAGACTTTCTTCTTGCAAACGAGCATATATAATACAAACATACCTTAAGAGTATTAATGAACAAATCATTCACCCTAGCAATATCTGACTTTTCTACATGAGGTAATGATCTCTATGGACAATAACCAATCTCTACTTCAGCATTTCAAAGGAAACTGGGACAACAGATCTGGAGTTCAGAGATCCAAGAATAGAGTCTGCAGCACTGCCTAGAAATGCACCACACTGCCATTTTTTTGGTAAGCAGGACTGGGGTAGCATTGCCCCTGGGAAGGCTTTCATTACTTTAACATCAACCTTAATAGGAAATCTAATGGGAAGAAGAACATGCTGGCCTCTGAGACCAACCTATAGTCCTTCTGGGTTGAACAAGATATCCTAATACAAACCTCTACCAGGCAACAAAGCACACCAGCTATTCCCACTTCCAAAACAGCGCTGAGCCACATCTCCTTCCTATCACCAACTGTTATTCCACATGCTTTGCCTGAGAAAGATTGCAGGTGAATATCCACTCTGAAGTCCCTCACTTCCATCACCCTAACCCTCAAAGCACCACAACCATCTTGTCCTACTC